AATTTTACAGTTAAACTGATTTACATTGTAATAATATTCTTCTAAGTTGGCATGGTGCACGTGATATCAAATAAGTAAATTAGCTTGTAGGTACACCACGTAAGTATTTAATACTGCAAAGCTTTCGGTCCGTTAACCTTTTTTAGGAATTTTAAGTTCACCTCCAGTTAATGATAAATTCATGATAGTATGATAGACCCTATGTGGCTATATGCCTAAATAAATTTTCTTCAATTACAGTTACTCTTTGACAAACTTCTACAACTTCAATTTTTATACTCTCTTGAAATACATTTGTTGAAGCACAAAGTGTTTCATACATATTCATGCATTCATCTAGTCCAACCCTTCGTAAGTTTTGCACTTCGCTACCACAAAAATATTGGTGGAAATCCATGTCTCTTGCACTTACGTACACGCTACAGTATTCACACATCACTGGACGATATCCACAACTATTCTCGTGATTTTCTAGATTTCCAAGATCAAGTATTTCAGGACATCCTCGATTGAAGTAATCACATTTGATTCTCAGCTCTGACAAGCGGTTCAGAAAAAACCGATGGGGAGTTTGCAAAGTTTCTGGAGTGAGGTGTTGCCGACATACTGGGCATGTTGAGGAACGAGCAAGGTATTTTGTTATACAAGTGGAGCAAAAGTGATGTTCTGCTTCGCATATTCGTGCATCTCTTAATACCAAACGGCAAATTCTGCAGAAAAAATCTTCGTGAACGGGCTGAATGAAGCGGTCTGGATCATAACCAGTAGCCATTAGTAATACGTATCTGAAACATTATTAAATGTTTAAATAAATTATTCATCAACTCACAATAAGACTTTTCATCTCTTATCCTGATGATGATCAATGCTGCACATTGTTTGCTTAATACAATACAGTAAAGTTTCAAAGCTCGATTAAATAAAAATAATATTTGGCCAGTTCAAACATAAAAAGTATTTTTGTTGTCCCGCCGGTTATATGAAACAAATAAAAGTTAAGTACATCTTGATTAAGTTATAAAATATATTGGTGGTGCGTCCTCAAATATTTATACACAAGATTCCAACTATCAACCTTTAGAAATCTAGTTCATTGCTCTACCCGTTGCGCTATCAAACCTAGAGAGATTGATTGCGAGACTTCAGTCTTTATCTTTTATAAGAACACAAGACTTAAACTATCGACTTTTAGAAATCTGGTTTACTGCTCTTACATAGTTAATCTAGACTATGTCAAATCGTACAGTGTGAAAAATCTAAGAGTTTGTTGACAAAGATTACTCGTAAACGACAAGTGTTGATCTCGTGACTCGGGAATCTGGTAAAGTGTAAACGTGGCAACCAGTGGAACTATCAAACCTACAGTGATTGGCAGCGAGGATGATATTGACACTGACAGACCATGCAACTTAAACTACAAGTCAATTCGAGAACGACTTGCGCAGAACTGACTGAAAGGGTGACTGAAATGCAGTTTGACTTGGCAGGCTAAAATATGGAATATATTTTATAAGTTATCAAAATTTCAGACAATTTTGTGTATGCGTTAGCGAGTGCGCGAAGTTTAAAAATTTGGTATTTTAAAACAGTCATGGTCGTTCGATCAATAGTGGTAAATTAGTATTTGGAATATCATTAGATGCAAATGTCTAAAATGATGCAAAACATTTTTCGCGGCATGAAGGTAAAAATAAGTTAAAAATATATTTTATATAAGCATATTGAAAGACTGCCGTAGAAATTAAATCGCGAAGTCTTGAAACATTACGATGCATCAAGGTGTTGTCTTTAGCACAAAATATTGTTGACACCAAACTATTGCAGGATGTTCAAGTGAATAAAAACCGTCATCATCGTCAGTAAGTCTAATTTGATTATCTTTGTGTGGTTTGTTTAAGTTGCCTGGTCTGTCAGTGTCAATATCAGCCTCGCTACCAATCACTGTAGGTTTGATAGTTTCACTGGTCGCCACGTTTACACTTTACCAGATTCCCTAATCACGAGATCAACACTTGTCGTTTACGAGTAATTTTGTCAACAAACTCTTAGATTTTTCACACTGTACGATTTGACATAGTTTAGATTAACTATGTAAGAGCAGTAAACCAGATTTCTAAAAGTCGATAGTTTAAATCTTGTGTTCTTATAAAAGATAAAGACTGAAGTCTCGCAATCAATCTCTCTAGGTTTGATAGCTCAACGGGTAGAGCAGTGAACTAGATTTCTAAAGGTTGATAGTTGGAATCTTGTGTATAAATATTTGAGGACGCATCACCAATATATTTTATAGCTTAATCAATGCACATAATTTTTATTTGTTTCATACGACCGGCCGAACAACCAAAATACTTTTTATGTTTGAACTGGCCAAATTTCTATTTTATTTAATCGAGCTTGCAAACTTTACTGTATTGTATTGTATTACATTAGGAATGAGATGAAAAGTCTTATTGTGAATTAATGATTAATTTAATTAAACATTTAATAATGTTTCAGATACGTATTACTAATGACTACTGGTTATAAACCAACCCGCTTCATTCACTCCGTTAACAAAGATTGTTTCTGCAGTATTTGCCGTTTGGTATTAAGAGATGCACGATTATGTGAAGCACAACATTACTTTTGTGCCACTTGTATAACACAACACCTTGCTCGTTCCTCAACATGCTCAAAATGTCTGGAACACCTCACTCCAGAAACTTTGCAAACTCCCCATCGGTTTTTTCGGAACCACTTGTCAAAGTTAAAAATCAAGTGTGATTACTGCAATCGAGGATGTCCTGAAATACTTGATCTTGGAAATTTACAAAATCACGAGGATGGTTGTGGATACCGTCCAGTGAGGTGTGAGAACTGTAGCGTGGACGTAAGTGCAAGAGACATGAGAACCCACAAAAATATTTGTGGTAACAATGTGCAAAACTTACGAAGGGTGGGACTAGATGAATTCATTAATGATTATAAGGCATTTTGTGCTTCGACAAATTTATTTCAAGAGAGTATAAGAATTGAAGTTGGAGAAGTTGGTCAAAGAGTAACTGTAATTGAAAACATAATAGGCATATAGCCACATAGGGTCTATCATACTATCATAAATTTATCACTAACTGACGGTGAACTTAAAATTCCCAAAACAGCTTCGATTGTAATTTTGCTTCAGCAGAAACAATGAACTAATGGCGCATTCCTTTGGCGCGGCTAAAATGGTCAAACCGGTCATATTTTGAATTGAAATCGGAGTATTTCGTTAAGAATATAACGTGCGATATTTTTGGAGTATTTCGTTTAGCGAATATAACGTGCTACAAACTAATTTACTTATTTGATATCACGTGCAACATGCCAACTTAGAAGAATATTATTACAATGTAAATCAGTTTAACTGTAAAATTGATTCGTTAATTGAGTTATCATCTACTTTAAGAATTGTTAAAACTAGTTCCGGTTTCAACACTAACAAGAGTTATCGAAACTAGTTTCGACTTGCTGGTTTTCAAATGGTTTTCAGACACTTGCATTTGTTTTGTATCTTTTTAGACATTTGCATCTAATGATATTCCAAATACTAATTTACCACTATTGAATGATGCAAAACGGTTTTAAAATGCCAAATTTTCAAACTTCGCGCACTCGCTAACGCATGCACAAAATTGTCTGAAATTTTAATAACTTATAAAATATATTCCATATTTTAGCCTGCCAAGTCAAACGGCATTTTCAGTAACCCGTTGTTCTGCGCAAGTCGTTCTCAAATTGACTTGTAAAAATACGCTTTTATATACTTGGAAAAAGTTTCCAGCAAAAAGTTTCACCGTCTCGCAAATTTTTGGTGCGAAATGTGCCGTCTGAAGGACTCAAAATAGCTACTTACACATACTAAAGAATTTCCTTAACGACTAGAATACATTTACTAACTGTTTAACTTTTTCCATACACTCTTTAAGGTTGTGTTAGTTACACTATGCAACTTTCCCTGCATGACTTGCAATGCAATTAAACTCCGGAGGATAAAATAAGATAGCTACATACAGATATGAAACTTCTGTGTTTTATTTGTGTGGCTGAATTCTTTGCAATGAAGTCCCATATTTCCACGTAAATATTATTTATCTGAATTTTTCAAGTTTCTAACCGTCTTTTAAATCTGTTTTTTTAAATAAGATCAAAGCATAGAGAGTCTGATTGCTAATTTTAAACCCGAAACTGAAACTTAATATGGCCATGTCTTTGTTTTTTTGTCTTCAGACTTCCGCTAAAAAGACCTGTGTATGGTCATAACAGCCGCGCACATAAGCATCAATTTGTAAACTTTGTGTGAACAATTGTCCAAGTCCTTTTGTCATTCACAAAGTTCTTTTTATCACTTCGTTTTCGCATTTCAATTATTCCTAGATAAAATTCATTTCATCTTATCTCCTGGAGATATATTGTATCTAAAGCATGTATTACATGTTTTTCAAACTCAAAAATAGCTCAGCCAGTGCTAAACTATTGCACAGCTTTCCATACGGCAAGCCCTGCACTCCTCAGCTATATTTTCTACTGTTTTTGCCAGCATCAAATAATTTCATAAACTAGTTCTTAGCTCAGAAGATCCACTTCATTCATCTTTTTAAAAATTTTGAGTCAAATAGGACATCGCCCTAAACGTTTTGTTTAAATCAGCATTTGTTTGTCAAAAACTTTTCCAAAATAAATCCAAAATGATTTGTTTATTTCTGGGTTTTGATTGAAAGAAACATCGTTTTTGTAGCTTCTTCTACAGATCCAGCGGAAAAGTGAAAGGAAACATGATTTTAAAATTACGAAAATGGAAATTTGACTATAGTCAAATAGGGTATAGGCTATAGCCTCGCTTTCGTGTACCTCGTCACAGGCCTCTTGCTCTCTTTTTCGAAAAGGTCTATTGCAAGAAAAATTGCACAGTGTGACAGTGCCTTTCGAGTTCATTGGTATAATTTTGCACAGGATTACGCTTAAAATAGAAACAAACTCACCAGTGATTTTCGTAGCAACAAAATTTTCGATTTTCGTAGCGTTCCCTCTCGACGCTTGTTTTGTTTCGAGGCTTTTCCCTACAGAATTTCAATATCTCGTCTTATTACAACAATCCTTAAAAATTCATTTCCTGTTGAGATATTCAATGATTTTGCAAGGTGTTCACGGCGTGTTTGACTGAAGGAACCTTTCTCAACTTCCTAACATCCAAAAATTTTTCTTGCAGCTTGAACGCTATTTAATTTTGAGGGATGTTAATTTGTAAAGAGTGTTCGAAAAGCTACGAAAACGTTATCAGATCGTACGAAATGTTCGTATTTGACAACTTTAGATGCCTCAGGGGTAGAATTACATTGCAAGTTGCAAGGAAAGTGACATAGTGTAACTTTATTCGGGTTATTCGACGAATTCAAAGTTTGTTGCTAGGGCAACCATAGTGTTGTGATTATGGCCGGTTTTCCACTAGCGATATTTTTCGCACGAAGCGACTTTATTCTTTTGTATTTGAGTAATTTTTCCCAGATGGTTGCAGTTGAGAACTCTGAAACAAAAGTTAAATGTCGCTTCGCGCGGAAAATATCGCTACTGGAAAACCGGATTTAGGACAGCCAACTGCGTCATCTGGAACAAAATTGTTCAAAGACAAAAGAATAAAGTCGCTTCGCGCGAAAAATATCGCTAGTGGAACACTTATTTCGCTATTATATGAATTAACAGTCTGCACAGTTTGAATTTCACAAAGATAATTAAATCAGGCTTACCAAAGTTGGTAGATGTTGAGAAATTCTTCACTTCAACACTCAGCAAAAGTTGTTGTGTCGACGCCGTCTGCAACACTTTATGCTTAAAACACCTTGTCATGTATTGTTGATAGCGTCGAAGATATCTCGTGACTATAGCGACACTCCTTGAACATCCTTATAAGGAGCTAACAGCTGGCCTCTGACAATATCCACTCCTTCGTGAAATTAAAGAAGGCTGCACCACCTGTGGTTTTTAAAATGAGATAGAGCATTGCAATAATACCCTGAGTTTCATTTAAAATTCATAAAATGAGATAGAGCATTGCAATAATACCCTGAGTTTCATTAAAAATTCATAAGTTCGTTTCTAAGCAAGCACAATTTACTATTCTCAAAAGTTTTCGGTGTTTTTGAAGCTACAAATTGGCGCAAAAACGAGTTTGTCACAGAAAAAGTAGATTTAACGACATGCTAATGACGTAGTTAATACTAAAAGAAAGTAGATAAGATTTCTAACGGATTACGCCATCGGTTATCAGTAAGATATCGACATTTCTAAGTGCATAATTTGGTTTCTTGGTTACAAAACAATCATTTTGTGAAATGACGCCACTCTGCATGTGTTGTGGTTGTAAACACAGCGACAAAAAGGCTAAGAAACACGTTTGACTGAACAGCATTAGTAATTTTAGCAGGGACAAAATACCCCAGTTCTAGACGAAGCAATTTGTAGCTTGTTAAAGCCGCTGTATAAACATTTCACCACCAGCATGGCAGGTTCTATGCATTTTAATTTCAGTCACAAATAAAACAATGTTTATCTTTAATATTATTATACATTAACATAAGAAGGATTTTGGCTGATGAAAAATCGAGCGAAATTTATTTACATTTAGTTTTAACCTGATTGCTTCCATTAAAGGTACTTGCTGAGTCACTTACGCCAAAAACAATGCATGGAGTTGTTCTTCTGATAGGTTTTCTGTGCTTCTGGGGCAGGTTGTGTGAAAGCTGGATAGCGCTATCCACCGGATAGTGGTTTTTTCAACGGTTCTAAAAAGGCTAAAAAACCAATAAAATTTTAGCTTTGGAACCAACAATTATTGAAGAGGACCTCAATTTAGGAATACTAAGTTTTAATCAAAGTTATACCCAACAACGGGTGACTTTAAAGCGATTTGAAACACTATTCGGTGGATTGCGCTATCCGGCTTTCATACAACCGGCCCCTGGTTGCTCATGCAAGGACACAATAAGAAGTTTATATTGAGAAAACTTTCAGATGTGAGGTTTAACGACAGCATTTAAGTGGTATCTTTTTTCTATCATTCCTGGCAGTTCTTTCCAGCCATCTCCACCAATGGTGAAGGTTTCCACTGAGTTGAGATATTCCTGCTCCTTATTTCTTCCACCAAACACGACAATGACGTCATTCATGATGACAGCTGAGCTGCCGCTCCTTTTGTAAATCATGGAAGGAAGTCGCTCAATTTGCCACGTCTCAGTGTCATACATGACGACGTCACATAATACCCGACCATTCTTATCCAAACCGCCAAGAACAATGATCTTATCACCCCAAGTGACTGTGGACATGTCACAAACAGGCTGAGGTAAAGATTGACATGGCTTGAACTCATTCTTAATGAAATCATAAACAACAACGCTGTCAAGAGCATCGCTACCACGGACGGTTGTTGACCCGCCCAAGATAAATAGTTTTCCATTAACAAGTTCTGCTCTGTGATATCGTCTTGGCTCAGGCATTCTCGTCAGCAGCTTTACAGTATAAGGTGGGGTAAGAGCAATCTCATAAATGGCATTTGATGTTTTTCCTTCATTCCAGTCATATCCTCCTATTATATATAATTTTCCTTGATAAACTATGACGTCATGATTAGATAGTTTGACTGGCAGTTTACCATCAAACATTGTCCATTGCAAAGGATGTTGGTTCATCTTCAAAACTTCGATCGTGTCAGTTCCAGCTTTATCATCTAAACCACCAACGACCAGAACGTCATTGTTGTAAACACACGATGCTGATCCTGCTCGAGGATGAATCAATGGTGGTAGCATAGTCGACCTCTTCCCATCAATATTATATTTTTCAACAGTATTCAAAGTGGATGTGTACCCAGTGTAATACCGACCACCAAGAATAATAACGTCTTGGTTGTTAGTTGGAATTGTGGGATCCATAGCTTGAGCACCATTTCTGTTGACAATATTTTCTTGGAATAGATGACCCAATAATCCTTCAAATCTTTTGAACTGCTGCTTTATGACGTCAAAATTATCCTAAATTGTAAATAAAAAGTTACGGTGTAGCAACATTAGTGCTGTGAAATCTCATCGGAAATCCTGTACTGACACAGAGTAACCACTGGGGATGCAGATTCTAGGATTTACTGACGACGTCGCCTAAACTGTAAATGGATCTGTGGCATGCTCTTGTGAATAAACGATTTCAATGGGAGGGAAGGGAAATCTACTGCAAGTTACAACCACGCATTTTGTCCCAAATGCAACTCCCCAAATCCAAATTTTATTTTGTTCCGATGGATCTTCTAAAGCGTTAAAAATTGCATTTCGATACATCAGTTTAATAATTACATCATTTTGCGAGGGATCCAACGCGCACTGCACGTTACTTTTGAACGAGGCCGTCCAAGCAAATGACATAATTATCGAGAGGGTGCATTTCGTCACGTGATGGCTTATATGTTAATCAATGACCAGCAATTATGAAATATTATCACAAATAAGTTCTTACCTCCATTTTCTCTACTTTCTCGTTAATTCCTGATTGGGTTTGTTTCATCTCGTCAAGAGCTTTCTAAAATAACAAACCTCACTCACGTTCATACTCATTTAATATGAATTACCTCGGAAACGAGGCGATGGAAACAAGTCAAAGTGAAGATGAGTTTGGGTGTAGAATATGGTGATTATCTCAAAGGTAAAACTATGATAGATTAAATTTTATGTAGCAAGAATATAGAAGAAACATCATTTTTATTAAGAAACATCATCTTATGCTAATTCCTAGGAGAGGGGATCGCTTTCGTACACATCGCTTTGAATATATCAGTTAAAAATTAACCTTCGTCTCATCTTGTCTCACTTCCATTTGATCTTGTTTTCTTGCCATTTCAAGGTGATGAACTTCCATTTCCTGAACTTTCTCGTTAATTCCTGATTGGGTTTGTTTCACTTCATCCAGAGCTTTCTAAAACAACCTCACTCACGTTCATACTCTTTTAATATGAATTACCTCGGAAAACTGGGCGATGGAAACAAGTTAAAGAGATGAGTCTGGATGTAGAATATGGAGATTATCTTAAAGATGAAACTACTTATCATGATAAACTAAATGTTATATAGTAAGAATATAGAAGAAACATCATCCTATACTGTTTTTTTATGTAACAAACATCATCTTATATTAATTTTGTAAGAGAGGGGATCGCTTTGACTATATCAGTTAAAAATTAACCTTCCTCTCATCTTGTCTCACTTCCATTTGATCTTGTTTTCTTGCAATTTCAAGGTGATGAATTTTTAATTCAGCTTGAGACGGTGTCAGTTTGTTGACATTTGTCTAAATGCAGTTTAACGATTAAGATGTTTTTCCGAGGTAACACGATCTAACTGATCTGAGAGTGTGTTCTTAAATGCGTTCTGCGAGCGAATATTCTCCCCCCCTCTAAATTGGCCCCTTGTCCATATCTGCCAGCTGGCAAATATGCACAAGAGGGTCTATTTTAGGGGGATCCAAATCTGCTGGGATACCGGCTAGGGCTGGGTAACGCTATACACCAGATAGTTTCATTTCAACCATTTTTTTTAAATGTTAGCATTCAAAAATATAGAATATATTCATGACATTCAAAAATTGATAAAACAATACTAATAGTCATAACAGATAAATCTTTCCTTACCTTAATTTTCTTTACTTGTTTCTGTATATTAGAATGCATTGTTTTAATTCCTGTCACCTCGCTTCTCATTTCATCTTGAACTGTATTCGTGAAGGTCTGAATTTCTTCACAACTATTGGTGACTTCATTCAGTTCCTGCCTTTGTAAATTCTGATTATCCTCAATTTCATCCAGGTTTGTACGAATTTTTTCACAACTATCGACGATTTCTTTGAGCTTCCGTCTTTTCTGACTACCCTCCATTTCAGCTAAATCATCGTCAATATCATCTAGCTTCTGTCCATACGCGTCCTGAGTTTCTTCCAGTTCCTTTTGTTTATCGTCGAATTCTTTCTGTCTTGCTCTGATAATCGTGAAATCTTCTTTCATTTCTTCTTGACGCAGTTTGATATCTTTTAAACCCTGAATATTGGCTCCACCAAGCTGACAGAAACTCTTTTTGTGGTTGTCTTCATCTTTCGCATTTACTTCAAGGTGACGCTCTTCACACGTTACTGGACGGTATTCACAATTACTTACATGATTTTGTAGATTTCCAAGCTCAACATGTTCCGGACACCCTCGAATGATGTAATCACACTGGATTCTCAGCTCTGATAAAAGGTTCTGGAGGTGTTTTCCAGGACATTTCAAAGTTTCCAAAGTGAGGTTTTGCCGACATTCTGGGCATGTCTGGGAATAAGGAAGATGTTGAGATATGCAGTTTAAACAAAATTTATGTTCTTCTGCCTCGCATAATCGTGGCTCGTTTAACACACACTGGCAAATGCAGCATTTAAAACCATGAAGAACTCGATCAACGAAACGGTCAGGATCATAACCTTCACCCATCTCCATTATCTTAACATGAATCTGAAACTGAAAAATCTGAAGAAATTGTTGCCATAAATTACTTCCTTAGCCTGGGTTTCATTTGCACGTAATTGTCATGAAAATGTCAAGGTGGTTGATGTACTCGAATATTGCTATGGCGTGTGTGCAATCAACAATGACCGATTGGAATTATTATTATTCAATAATAACGAAAAGTTTACATCTGGACTATTTCACATTGGCGGGAATGACTTGTTTACGACTATTGCAACAAAGAGAAATGATTGATATCTACAGAGTTCTTATATTTTATAAATAACGCAA